CCCAACAACCTCCATCCGACCAGAAAAGGCCCTCTTTAACTAGGGCTGCTGATAGGTTTTTCATAGTTGCTCTTAACCCTATCCGTACATCGTGTTTTACTATCGTATCTATACGACATGAGGAACTCCGTGCCACCACTTTCCAAAGAGGAAATTTACTCGTTAATCCGATCCTTATGCTTTGCATATCAGTCTGTCAAAATAATTTTTTGGGAAATACTGAAAGTTTCAAAGAGAAATCTTTGTACTACAAGGATTCTAAAAGGTGACGAATACAACCCCGGGGGTTCAAAATGACACTAAGGCGTAACTTGGCTCGGTTGTATTTGAGATTGACGTACCATGAGATTTGCCACCTCTCAGATGAAATTGTAGGATTGACAGGAAGTAGGAAGCTTCAATCTCGTGTCACAATTTGCCATAGCCTTACTCATTTAATGCACGCTTCCTATTTAGCCTGGTTGTCATTTTAAAAATCAAATTCACCCGTGTCTTCCAAAACATTGTCTTTTGTTAGCCTAAATCTTTCTCTACATGTCAGTTATTTCTTTTTGTCTGTTTTCTTACTCTAATGAGCACCATACTTTGACAGCCAGTCATCTGATTGCCTTTTCTATGGATTTTGCTTTGTATGTGTTTAATTAACCACACGACAAATAATCTAACCGCTTAGCAAATATTCAAAGTAAGAAATAGTTAACATTGAAGGTTGACCTAGCACTGTGGAGCTTGGGAGACCGTACCGTCTGTTGATAGACAGGCACGAAAGAGAGCATACTAAGTACTGATTAAGTTGTCAAACTTACGAAAGAGGGTGTTAGGAGTTTGAATAGCACCCCCACAAGCCGGGTGGCAGTGTTATTTGTTGGTGGTTCAGAGAACTACTTGTACTAGCCACGTCCCCCCATCCTTTAGGGCTTTCCGTTTGTCTTAGCATTTTTAATGTAGATGTTTTAATCTTTATCGACACAATTTAGATCATTTAGAAAGCGGGCCTTGACCCTGCCCGCCAAGTCCATCCCAAGCTGAAAGGGATACAGTGTCCTAGAAGAAAGAATGAGACTGAGATGCTTGATATAAAGATTTGCCCCACACGTGAATTGAACACAAGTCTACTGCATACTGCATGCGACGACGAAGCGCCTAATCAATACCTCAAAATTTGGTATCCATCTGTCTAAATTCAGACAAACATGAACAAAAAGTTTTTAAAAAGGAGAAAAAACAAAGCAAAAAACAACAACCCACACCCTTAAGTGTCACTATATCTTCTCAGAGACACCAGTATCTGCAGAAGACAACGTTGACAGCCTCCTGGACTTTACCTTGTACGAAGTCTCTGACCAACTCACGCCAGAGCAGTGGCTCATGATGCTTGTTCCAGGGCTTGCTAGGGCGTTCAGAACCAAACTGCAGTCAGCTCCAAGAGACGTGACGTCAGCTGCAAACATGAACGATGACGAGCTCGAGGCCATCATTTCCTACAAAATCAGTAAGCTTCTAGCAGAATCACCCATCGGGGACGGAAAAGTCTCTTCTCAGACTTCGAAAATATTTCAAGACGGAGAAACGTCCCCTGCTGTAGGCCATATGGATGAAACAGAACGGGACGACTCGGTATGTTTGTTCTTTTGTGCGGAGTTAGAAAGCGGTCACCCTCCACCACAGAACACGACACAGACCGCGGACAGTAGAGAACATGAATCTTGGCAACAGATAATTACCAATAGAAGTCAGACCATGTATGATGGAGTATCCTTTTTACTTTCGAACCAAACGCCAAGTCAACCACCAGATGGCAAACCAAATCGTTCTGGCAAATTGATGAAGGGGCTCTATCCCCAAGACTATGGCGGAAAAGACGTCACGGAAAAGACAGACAGTGGAGTTGCCACGGAGTCAGCCTGGGTGGATCACAACGACATTGAGTTTGGATCCCTTAGCCTCAACATGACAATGAAAATTTGGCAAGATGCTGACAGCAGTAAAAGACTCAAAGAACCAATAGGCACCTCGTCTGAAAACCAATCTCCACGGACATCCCCTCAACTAGATAAAGAGTTTGATGACTGGGCCAGCTACATTATCATTCCCCCAAAAGACAGCTTATTAAATATCACTCCGCGGGGGACGCCCAGAAAGCAGTCCGGGTCTTCTAGTGCTGCTGATGTGAGAACATCAAGGCGTGGCAAGTTACTGCGGCCAGCGCCGTTCCTGCCGTACTTAGACCACGGTGAATATCAACCTTTCTCACAGTCACAGTCACTGTGTCCCGGGCTGATACATACCAACTTCCCGTACGCATGGGGGACTCCTCAACATCCGCTGGAGGAGAAAACTTTGCTCCATGATACTGTCTGCCCTCCAGCTCCCCCATTCCCTCCCTCGCAATTGATGATCAACTCGTGGCTCACTTTGAATCGGTATTATAATCGATCACCTTCTTCAAAACCAGAGAAGTCTTTCGGATTTTCAGAGAACAAAGAATACCGCATAAACAGATAAAACAAATTTAGACCCATGCCTTTTGTATTTTTCGTTATTTTAAAGAAAAATTTTACAAATATTTTTTCATATTAACTTCTGTAATTTTAAATATTTCTTCAGTTTGCTTGATCATAATCGTCCATCCAAGGGATACAACAATCAAAGTTATAACAACCAGTTTTAACCACCTGGCCGTGAACTGCTTTTTACTTTTGAAATAAAACTTATAGTAAATATTTAAGTACTCATAAAAAATATTAATGTAGATGTTTTACACTCCTATCGATACAATCTTGATTATTTGAAAAGTGGGTGCTTCAACCCTGTCTGTCAGGGTCAAACCCGACTGGAAAGGGATACAACATCCAAGCAGACAGGCAAGGGCACTCGACTGAAGAAGAAAAAACTCCCCGTATTGGAATCGAACTCACGTCTTCTGCTTGCGACACACAACGTAGCTCCTAAACGCAACACCACAAACGCCGGTCCAAAACCCTGAGCTGACTTTTAGTAAACTAATCGAAATACTTGGTTCTCTACAAACGCAATATGTACATGTACTTGTAATTTTTTCAACCGTGAAAACCGCCGGTAAGTGACGTGGAAAAGTGCACTTTAGTTTTAGTAGAGGTTTTACGGCGCTCCCAATTACAAATGGTCGTATGAGCGCAAGAAGATTAAAGGTGTTACATGAGAGTAACAATCATAAAAAAGAAGGGGAGATTAGGACTATGACGATATATGTTTGATGGGAAAGAAAAAGCAAATCACACCAGAGCACCTGCCAACCACCCACTGAAGTGCACTGCTATTTTTTGAGGTTGCCTGAAGTTCTAGGGCACACTGGTGTTAACAAAGATACTGTGTTGGGGAAAGCAAGAGTTGAGGGTGGTCCAGGTGAACTTACTGTGGAACGCGCATAATTACATGTATTCTTTCTGTTGTGAGGGAAATAGAAAACAAAGTACATTTATA